GTCCCTCTAGACTCAACTGTTGACAAGGCTGACTCCATTTCTGATTTCCTGCCTTCCTTGGAGACTTGGGAAACACAGGCTTAGATAAACAGTATTCTGGGGATTAGGTTCAATTTTAGGAAAAGCTACTAAGTGTATTTCCAAGGATAGCTATGTGGTTTAGTCTGATGCTTGGCTATAAACCTGCAAAAAAATTCAGCAGGTCTGGGCAGGGAATTTAGTTCGGTGGTGTAAGTGCCCACCTGGCAAGTGCGAGGTCATGAGTTCTACCCCTGGTACAAAAACAAGTAAATAAATAAAATAAAATCAGCAGGTCTGGAGTCTGGCTGGATTTGAAAGCTGGTTCCAGCATACCACGTAAGATTCTGGGCAACCCATTTCCTCTCTATACATCAGTCTCTTCATTATTTAACATCTACCCCAGAGTTATGAGTGACATGTGCATGTCAAGAACCCCAGCCAGCACCGAAGTGTACCCCTCTAGAGTCTGCCCAGATGGAAACTTAGCTTGACCACTACTGACTGCAGTTATTTCTATTTTTTTTATTTTTATTTTTTGTCTTTTTCCTTTTTATTGGTACTGGGGATCGAACTCACAATTGCCTGCTTTCGAGGCAGGCACTTTATGCTGCTGAGCTAAATTCCCAGCCCCTATTTCTTAAAGTCAAGGCTGGAAGGGGGTGCCGAGGACAGCTACCAGGTCCTGCTCAGAAAACAAGCCTCTACTATCTGTCAGGGACCATTCTGGGTAATTTCTTTCACATTTGTGTAAGGGATCTGAGTTGCTTTAATCCCAAATTCTATATTTTTATGACACAGCATGTAGGATTTGGGCAGCACCAAGATTTAAAGCAAAAAAATAGCACAATGTTCAGGACGTCACCACGGTGTTCACTTTCAGGATGACTGAGGGGATGGAGAACTCCATTTGCACAGAAGCTGCGTATCTTTGGCTTTCAAGTTCCTTTTGGGTCCCAGCATCTGCTGTCATACTTGTCACAGGAATTCCATCAGCAATGATAAATGTGTAACAGCCTGAGACAAAGTTACATGAAGGTCCTGGACTGGTACAACTGCAGCTCACTTTTGCTCGCTGATCTGTAAAAACACAAGCCACCTGCACCTGGCAGTCCTGTTCGGTGCCCTGACTGGACTCCCCTCTGACAACCGCGCGGTGGTTTCCATAACAAGCTCTCTCCCAGTGGCTCGGTGCCCCCAGGCCTCAGCTTGGTCCCCAGTGGCTGCAGCTGGAACTATCTGTGGGTGGTTTCTCCTGACCTCACTGGGACCCCAGAAGGCCTGGCCTTAATCCTTTAGTGCTCAGGCCCTGCTGACAGCATCCGACGATACGGAAACGCCCGGTACACTTAAGCAAGCTGGGTAATTCTACAGACCAGGACTAGCCAGCCAGTGGGTAGCCAGCCAGTGGGAAGTAGGATTAGGTGCAGGAAAAGGTGAAAGCCACAGGCTTCACTTTAGAGGGGCAGAGAGGCTGCAGCTTCCCACACAACTTGCCCATGTTCATCCTGCTCACAAAAAGCAAGAGTGAGAATCAGAACGTGTCCACCATTTCCCTACTTGGTGTTTTTTCTACAATACACAATGGAACTGCGCAGAGGTACTGGCAAAGACCTTACAGGTCCTTACTAGATGACAGAACAAACCTCCACTGAGACAGCTCTATGAAGCTGATACTCAGGCATCCAGTGCCGGCTGCATGGATAAGGGAATCTGTCCTGTACTTTTCCAACTTTTTAATATACGGCCTTGTTATGTACTCCAGGCTGGCCTTGAATTTGAGGTGTTCCACCTGCCTCAGCCTTCCAAGTTCTGGGATTACAGGTGTGCGCCACCAGGGCTGGCTTGTGTCCCAAATATTTCTTTTTTAAGAGTAGGGAAATGTATTGGAGAAAAACAATGGGGAACAGGACTAGGTCCTGAGGGACAGACTGTCCTACACATTTCTGAAAGACTATCCTGTAGCCACTGTAATGACATGAAAACATACAACTGTAACTATCATTTCCACTTAACATGCTCCTGGGCAGCACGGGACAGCGAGGCATGTACCTACCACCAGTGGCACATGCTGCCTGATGGAGTCCCGTCTGTTCAGCCTTGTCAGGAACGTGTTAATTGTACTTAAAAAAATAAACAGCCTAGGAGACAACATAGCCACATGCTATTTGATTTCCAGTGAGTAAACAGTATTTAGCACAAAACACTCCTTGTAATTTCTAACAGTTCAAAACACTTAACATGCAATCCTACGCACACTCCACTTCACTTGATGTACACACTCACTTTCCACTCTTCCCTTTTCTCTTGTGTGGTGCACACGTGTAAGGTGTTGCTGGGGGCTGAACCCAGAGCTTGTGATGCTAGGCAAGCGCTCTACCACTGAACCGCATCTTCCCGTAACCACAACTGAAATCAGCGTCATCTTCCCTTTGGTCCTCTGGTCATCCTGCAGATGAAAATACAAGGGCACAAAATACAATAGCCTAACGCATTTCCTAGCTCCTGGAACAGCCAGAGCTCCCTAAGGTAGGCCCCTGCACTCACTGGGACCTGGCCCCTCCAGAGGGGTGGATGCCCACCCCCAGGTCCACCTGGCTCTCCACTTAAGACTAGAACCTACTAGTGAGCATGAAAGGCTCTTCTCATGGCTTTGCTATGTAATTATTCAGTCTCACAGCACTTTACTCACTGGACAGTTTGAGATTATCCTTAATAGCATAATGTATCATATTCCTGCCCTTGAAGCACGCAGTGAGTTGATGTAATTCAATAAACAAAACCCACAACCCTACAAATGTTCAAATTACCTCTGGATGAGTTGGGCCATGCTGCCTCAGCTCAATAACACTGCAGAGGGTTACAGTGAGACTAGAATACTCACTCAGCAAAGCAGCACAGCACTTCTGGACCTGCTACTGGGAGACACCTACTACCTTATTCCAAAGACAACTGACAATTTGACATTGCACACAGTCACCTACCACTGATCCACAGCCAACATGGTTAACAGCCTAAAAAGTAACCATGCAGGAAGAACTTCATTAATTAAATGAAATCTCCTTGGCCATCCTGCCCTCTCGTTTCTTGATCAGCATCTGCACACACATTATCCACAGGCCTTGTGAAAGGCAGATGCAGCGGTTCTGAGCTGAAGCCCAAGGGTCAGGAAACTCCCAGGTGACCCAATCTTTGCACCTGCTACAGTTCCACCCCAAACATCATCCTCGGAGTCTAGTGGGATGTGTGGAGCCAGCCTCTAACAGAACAGGTCCGAATGTGGGCTGCTGCCAGCTGAGCTCCACCCTCCCCAGTTTATGACAGAAACCACACTGCTAGTGAGCTAGGCCTAAAACTCAGTTACACATCAGGCATAACCACCTATAACCCTAACACTTGGGAGGTGGAGGCAGCAGGACCACTGTGACTTTGAAGCCAGTCTGAGCTATACAGCATACAAACCTGGTTTTTAAAACACCAAAAAAATTTTAAAACTAAAATCCAGTTTCACCTCTGAATTTCCATCAGTGTTCTTTCTACTGAGCCAGGAGCCCAGGTAGTTGTCTTAAAATGGGAGCTCAACAGAATACACAACATAGCAGGATCAAATGAGGGTTGGGCAGGTATAAAAATTTCAATGCAAACATAAATAAGCCAGAGATAGAGCCAGGGCCGACAGGACAGTGCATGAAGGTGATAGTTAATTATAATTATGTTTTATTTCTGGGGTGCTTAATTCAGATGAAATTAGCATATGCACTCCATCTCTGCAAAAAGTGAGTTTGCTCTCCAAGATGCCGATTTCAGGTGTGGTTATAGGAAGACATGGTTCAGTGGTAAAGCACCTGCCAAGCATTCACAAACTATGGGTTCAATCCTCACAGGTACACACAAGACACAGTGAAAAGTGAACGTATTTCAAGTGAAATAAAACCTGTAATCCCAGCACCTAGGAGACTAAGGCAGAAGAATCACTTTGAGTTTGAGGTTAGCCTGAACTACATGAGACCTTGTCTCAAAAAAACCAAGCAAAGGGGCTGGGGATTTAGCTCAGTGGCATAAGCACCTGCCTTGCAAGCAGGCAGTCTTGAATTCGATCCCCGGTACCGATTTAAAAAAAAAAAAAAAAAGCAAAATACTTCAATGAGAAAATAGGCCAAGGGTAAAACTGAACTGTCACAAAAGAGTAAGTTTAATGAATAGAATTAACAAGTGTTCAAAATTTAAGCCCAAAATTGAAAATAAATGAATAGCTTAGTATAGTCTAATGATCAGAGAAATGGTGGCTTCTGGTCACTGGGAAACTACTATAAATAAAAATCAACTTTCATGCCAAAGGGAAAACAATTTTTGAGAGTAAAATTCATCACATCCCAGAACACATAAAAGCATCCTTTTAGTTACTATGTGCCTGATACTTCCCTGAGCCATTTAACCCTCTAAGGAGCATTATTATTGCCTCCAGGATGTTGGTAATGAAATCAAGGTAGATTCCTAGCTTTGCTCAAGGTATTACAGCCAATGCAAGCTACAGTTGAATTGAGAATCAAGTCCAGACAATTTGCCTCAAATGGTCCTTGTGTCTCATCATTCTGCCTCTCCACACCTGGTACAGTCTCAAAGGAGTCTGAACAGTTAATCTAAAATTCAGTCTCAAGCACCCTTCACTTATGCACCAGATGACTGAGTCATGGAGCTCCTGGAACATAGAAATACTGTATCCTTTTCCTTTAACAGAGACTGAATCACCTGGACCATACCCCCCCTACACAATCGGCTCACACAGAAAACTGTACCATCGCACTTTAGCAAGGGTTTGGGGCTGCACAGGCAGTGCTCGAGTCTGGACCTGCAGGGAAGCACTGATATCCAGAGGACCACGGGTTGTTACCAGCTGTTCCCAGGGAAGCTTTAAGTGGCTGGAGGTCCCAGGACGTGAATGTGGACAGGCTCCTTTCACAAAACACACACAGCAATGCACATTTTACTGAAAACATTTTATTGGCCTCTTGCACAGAAACAGGAATTTATTTGCCAGGAAGGATGATCCCATCATACTGAAAAAGAAGAGATTTTATTTTTTCAGAATTAGAGGCAACAACAATCACTGAAGCAAAGGCAAACTTCCCAGAATTCAACTCTGGTACACGAACATCAGCTCTGAGCCCCACTTTGTTTCCAGACTGAATGAAAGCTGCCCAGTTTCATTAGCAGTTGCTATGCTGTGCCTAACTGCAGTATCACCTGAGAAAGGGGGGGCTCCTTTTAATCTCCTTCCTCCCCTTTCAGCTACCCACAATCAGTTAAACCACCAACTCTGAAGGACCATTTGCCATGCTGCCCAACTACTCTAAGAGACACTACCTGCCAAGGAGTGCATTTGCACCCCAAACCCCCAACTCCATCCACCACCACCACACAGCACCACCTTGCTGGAGAGAGAGCAGCCTTACCTTCTGCTGGAACCAGCGCATGGCCTCCTCCTTGCTGATTCTGTGCTTGGCCCCAATGCAGCCTGTCCTGCGCTTCTTGTCTGCGATGCTGAAACCCGGTCTACCCAGCACCTGTCCCAGGAATAACCAAGTCACCCACCGGCTCAGGCTCAAGAGCACAGACAGGACTCACACTGGAGACTCGTTTTCAAGAGTCACCTACAACTCAGAGCACTGGAGTGAGGCCCGGGGTTCAGGGCCCGACAGCACATCACCACACACAGGTTTCCAAGGCTAAAAATTCCAGCCCCTTCCCTATGTAATAATTTCTAGTGGTTCTGTGAATTTCCCACCACCATCTCCACGGCACTTCCTTTTAAAAATAGCATCAAGAATTTCATTGCAAAACATGTTATTAAGCCACGTGCAGTGTAGAAAATTGTAAATTCTAACAGGCACAAAAAGTTTTTCTTACTCCTTTGGCTTAAAAGCGCTTTCCAGGGCTGGGGATTTAGCTCAGCAGCATAAACGCCTGCCTTGTAAGCAGGCAGTCGTGAGTTCAATCCCTGGTACCAATAAAAAGGAAAAAGACAAAAAAAAGTGCTTTCCAAAGGTCTACTGCTTCCAAACTTCCAGGATCAAGTCCTGCTACTTTTGGATATGTGAATCTAATGAGGGTACCATCATCATTTGAGTTCCACATCAGCCAAGACTTCTGCCTCTTTGGGCACTTTTGTTTTTGTGCCGGGAATCAAACTCAGGATCTTGAGCTTGCCAGGCAGGCACGTATGCAGCTGAACTATATCCCAGCTTCTGGGTATTTACTTTTACGGATGAACCAAAAGCCATGCAGTTAACAAAATAGTAAAAATCATTTCTACAACAAAATCCCCTTCCTGAGGATACAACTGCATCACCCAAAATTGGTTCTATGTTCTCTGAGGACACCGCATATCCCTGGAGTCTAAGGGAAAACAGCAAGCAGCCTTGGGCCACATGCTGCACCAGGACTCCCTCCTCTCAGGAATCACTCCGAGACAGCACGAATGAAACCGATTTCCCTCTCCTACAAACCAGGAATAGGAAAGGGTAAATATTCATACCACATAGAAGTCCAGGCCATAGATGCCAATGCTGGGGTCATATTTGATGCCCAGATCGATGTGTTCCTGGATGCCAAAACCAAAGTTGCCAGTATCGGAGAAGTTGTTTTTCCTTAACTCATACTCTCGCACCTGAGGAGAAAACACAGCAGTCACGTTACCGTCACCTTCAGCTCCACGCCCTCAGGTAACTAGCAGACTGCCTACACTCAACACCCCAGAGCAAACACAGCAGCGTGACCTGGCGGGGAACACAAGCTATTTCCGTGCTACACTAAGTCACACCCCAGCTATGGATTTCATAGAACTTTCTCAACTTGTAATGGGCAGAGAAAGCAAGGTATCAGAATGACTGTCAGGCAATAACAAAACAATTTAACTCCGAGCCTTAAGCACACAAGTAACTATTAGGCCACCAAAGAACACTATATTAAATCTAACCACTGCCACTACATTACCTGTACTTTAAATGGGGTATCAATGCCACCCTGACCAGACAGACCAGCCTTACCTTTAGGCCTTTCTCCAGGATTTCTTCGGCCTTGGCCCCACGGACTGTGCAGTGGACAGCAATCTTTTCATTTCTTCTGATGCCGAAGGATCGGACAGTGTACCTAGCTGCAAGCAAAGAACAAGGAACCACGTGCTGTCACACTCTCGTCACACCTGCCTCTTCCCCAGGACACCATTTCCCTAGCTCTAAGAGTGGCATTAAGGACTGACCCACCATCTAAATGGTGGTGTTCCTATTTACTGTAACACAAAAAAACCAGAGTTCCCAATTTCCAAGCCATCTAGCCACACTTCAGCAATGCAGAGCTTGAAATCCTAATGTTAAAGTCTCTGATGGACAAGTTCACAGTCCAGAAACAGTCCAAAGAGAAAATAAAACAGTAAGAAAGACAACAACTGTGTTCTGGAGAAAACAAAACACTGTTGTTAAAATACACCAACTCGAGCTGGGGATTTAGCTCAGCAGCAAAGCGCCTGCTTGGCAAGCACTAGGTCCTGAGTTCGAGTCCCAGCACCAAAAAACTCCCCCCAAATACACCAACTGATTTTATTCTCCACCAAGAAAAAGCAATATAATCTCTTTTATGCATACAAGGAAACTGAGGTCCAAACAGCCCATAGTCCCAAGACCATCAAGTGATAAAGTGTACAGGTAAATGGCCCCTCTCTTAAAGTAGCCTATACAGCCCACCTGTTAACCAGGCCAAATGTCCTCTACTACATTCCTATTCTACCTTATATTCTATTTCCTTGAAATATCAATACTTGGACCAGTGTTAAAGTCTACCTGTAGAAAACGTGATTACCAGTGCCAGGACTAATCTCGTAGAGGAAAACACTTCTTGGGATGGGTCACCTATTTACCACTTTTAGGAGATGCTACCTGTAACTTAAACAGGCCCAACAGCAGACGAAGAAACAAGTGCCAGGTGAACCAAAGGCCCAGCCCTCCCCATGCCCACAGCTACTCACCTTTAGAAAACACTGGCGTCTGGCCTGTGAGCTGCTCCAGTACCTTGGCTGCCCTGGTCAGTCTGTCTCCACTCTCCCCGACACAAATGTTAAGGCAGAGCTTGCGGATTCGCAGTTCCCGCATAGGGTTCTCCTTTTCACCTTGATCCTGCTGTAACGCGATGACAAAAAGCAGTCAACACGACCGCGTCACACACGAGAGCCCAGTGTTTTCACTGGTTCCCACTTGTGCAAAATAATTCATTTCTGTTCATCCCAAGCCCTAAGGAAGGCTCCAAAAACTTAGGTTATCAGTGTGATTGCCAAAAGACATCTACTATTTCGCCTCTTCCACCACACAAGAACACTGTCAAGCGACTCCCAGACAAGCACAGCCCCTGAAGAATGATGCAATGAGGCGGCCAATTAAGATCAAGGCCCTGGGTTTAATCCTCAGGACCACAAAAACAAACAAACAAATAACCTGCTAAGGAAACCAACGTGTGGCTGTGCGGCGTCCCCCACCCCACTACGAAGCTGCCTGTGGGCTGGGGCTCCAGGCTGGCGCCTTCCCTAGGCGGAAGAACCGGTGAAGTTGCCTCCCACCAAGTAAGTCTCAAGTGTCAGGAAAGAAACCGAACCCCAAGTCCAACCACCCTCCGTTCGCTCCGCCTGCCCTCACTGCAGCTACAAAACGTGCCTCCGGGCCCCCCGGGCGGCTGCGTGAAGCCGGGTCCTAACACAGGAGTGACAAGGGCCCGCCCCGCGCCCTCCACCGACAGGGCCCAGCCTCTTTCTGCTCGGCCGGCACTGAGGGGGACGGTGCTCCTCGGGCAGCGGTGGACACAGTCCCTGTGGGCCCGACCGGCAGAGGATGGAGATGGATGAAAGGAAACAAACCCAGGTGTCAAGCTACTTACCGCCATGGTGGGGAACAGGAAGAGAGAGGGGAACTTCCGGTCCAGGGCCTTATGGGTCAGGAGGCGGGCCCTTTTCCCAGGCTAAGAAGAGAGTTGGAGCCAGCAAGAGAGGCGCGTCTGTTGCGGCGCGGTATTGGCTCCCCCTAGTGGAAAGCTCTGGCAACTGCATACGCCTCTTAATTTTTCAGGACTTTAATTTTCTAGGAACAGTTTGGAAAACTCGCTGAACCTGCAGGTCCTTGAGTTCACGGACCCCAAGGCGTCTTCTCTTTCCACAGTCTCAGGACCTGTTGCTTCTTGCATGACGACAGTGCCAAAACTACATTCAGTCAATTGTGCAAATGTTGAAGCGAATATGTTCTGTGTAAAAGAATCATAGAACAGAGTCCTAGTCTGTGAAGACAGCTCTATGTGTCGCTCAGCTAGTGACCCTGAGACGTTGGAGAAGGTACTATTTTCAATTTTTTTTTAAAGGGCTTCACTATGTAGTTCAAGTTTGCCTTGATCCTCCTGCTTCAGACTCCTGGACCTGGCTAGACAAGTTACTATTTAAAACTCAGCCTCAGTTTTCCTTATGTGAAAAGTGTGCACATTTATCTTACAAAGTTGTTGTGGAGCCAGGTATGGTGGTGCACACTTATAATCCTAACACTCAGGAGATGAGGCAGGAGGATCATTGCAAGTTTGAGACCAGCCTGGGCTACAAAGTGAGCTCAAGGCCAGCCTGAACTGCATAGAGACCCTGTCTCAAAAAGACAAAAAAAAAAAAAAAAAGTTGTGAAAATTCAGTGAGGTAGCCAAACATGGAGGTACATTCTGTTATCCCAGAACTTAGAGGCTGAGGCAGGAAGATTGGTACATGTTTGAGGCCAACCTGGGCTACATAAGTGAGTTCAAGGCCAGCCTGAGCTACTACATAGTGGTATGTAACTCAGTGAGACCCTGTCTAAAACCAAAAGAGGAAAGAGAAAGTTCAATGAGATAATTGTATAAAGTATATTAGAACCCCAAAATAGGAAGAAAAAAAAGGAGATATTTAATATAGCTCAAAAAGTGTTGCATTTGTCTGTTTTTTCTTTTTCTTTTCTTCTTTTTTTTGAGACAGGGTATCCCTATGTAGTCTGGGTTCACCTCAAACTTGTCCAGCTGGGTTTAGTGGCACACACCTGTAATCCTAGCACTTGAGAGGCTGAAGCAGGAAGATCACTGCAAAATTGGAGGCCAACTCGGGCTACAAAGTGAGTTCAAAGTCAGCCTGAACTGCATAGTGAGAGCCTGTCCCAAAAAGACAAAAAAATTAATATTTAAATGCTCGTTAAAAGTAAGGGATAAAACAAATATAAATTTGAGAGCTGGGTGAAGACTATGTGGGATTTTATGCAACTTCTCTTATAATTTTGAAATTGTCAAGTAAAAATAACTAGTGAGGAACACATACCTGGGACGCCTCCTCATCCTGTAACCCCGGGCTGTTGCTCCCATCCCAGCACCCCAGCCCAGGACCAGGGATTGAACCCACGGACATCACATTAGCTACGAGAGATGAGGTGTTGTGAAGTTACTAAATCGTCCAGGCTAGGTTTGAACTCGCGGTCGTCCTGCCTCAGCCTCTCAGGCGGGGGTGGAGGCCTGTAGATGTCAGAAGGTCTCCCCTGGAAGACGCACTGGCCGCCTCTGCTGCAGGTGTCCCTTGCTGTTCCCTGCCGCACTGTCTCCCTGCAGGTTCTTCCAAGATCCTCCTACTGAAGCCCACTTTGTCACCAGGTGGCCTCAGACTCCAGCACCTTTGGTGCATTTCCTTGCTTTGATGCTCAAGGTAAGGCTCAGAGCTCCCTCCAAAGAACCGCAGCCATCCTCAGCGACAGGGAGGACCCGAGCTCCTCCAATGATGAGAGCAGCTGAGTTCAGATCAGGAAAGCCAGCCTGAGAAGCTTCTCCAGGAGAATCAACACCACACCATCTTCCCCTCCAGTTCTGCTTTCTATGCTGTGGGCGCCAATCCTCAGGTGGACCCTCCACAGCCAGCGCCACGCTGACTCAGTTTAGCTGGGTGGGACAGGGTGACCATGCGTTCATCCACCACAGCAGCGAGGCCCCCAGTGGACAGCGTTCAGTAGGCTCCTGTGTTATCTGTGAGCCTTGTAAGCAAGTGTGTTTCCCCTGGCCACAGCTCATTCTTGTTCTCACAGGCACATCAGTCAGCTGGACAGGACAGATACAGGAAGAGCCGACGTGGTTGAATGTAAGAATTAAGTGGGCAGCCAAATCATCTGTTATGGCTCGAGTCTAGATGTCCCCCAAAAGTCTCAAGTGGTCCTAGGAGGGGCTCTTTCAGAGGTAGCTGGGTCTGGAGTGGGTGGCTGATTCATGGTGCAGGGCTAGGGTTAAGGGTGTGAGTGGGCACACCATGGGTATAATCTGAGGATAGAAGGAGGCTTGCTGCCAGTTGTAGTTTGTCACCTGCTTGCTTTGCTGCCTGCTGCCTGCCATGAACTGTTTCTCCTCTGGCATGCCACCCTGCCTTGGAGCCAGCTGATTATGGACTGAAATCTCAATACACTGTGAGCTTAGCTTTGGGTGTTGGATATTTTGTCTCAGCAACAAAAAAAAAGTAACTACCACAGCATCATAGTTGGTTAGCACATGGGTTTAGAAACTGTCTTCTTTCCAGTCACAGATGTTTGAGCAAATTTTAGGGTTCAAAAGCTCAGTCTCCCACCAGCGCCAGCCTCAGGCCTCTGTGGGGTGCTCAGACGTGGGGAGATGCAGTCATTGCTGTGGGCGAAGGAGTTGGGAAGGGGTTGAGGGATGGCTCCAGTGTGTGAGACAAGGATTCAGGCATGGGAAACCTCCTGCCGGGGAGGAGACCAGAGCCTTGCAATGCAGACGCTATAGGCACATCTTGCTTCGTGGACTCAAACCTTGGTGGTCCAAGAAAGACAGCTACTGGGGCTGGGGATTTAGCTCAGCGGCATAAGCGCCTGCGTTGCAAGCAGGCAGTCATGAGTTCGATCCCTGGTACAGATAAAAAAAAAAAAGACAGCTACTGTTTCTAACAATACTCAACTCTTGCTGAGGCAGGAGGTTGGGAGGAGCAGTGGTAGGAAGCTTTGAAAAATTTAGTAAAGTTTTGTGTAAATAATTCAGATTTGCCATCTGGGTGTGGTGGTGCACGCCTGTAATCCCAGGACTTGGGAAGCTGAGGCAGGAGGATCACTGCCAGTTTGAGGCCAGTTTGGGCTACATAGTGAGTTCAAGGCCAGGCTTAGTGACTTAGAGACAGAGAGAGAGAGGGAGGGAGGGAGAGGGAAGGAGGGAGAGAAATAGAGAGAGAGACAGAGAACTCTTTCCACTGTGCCCCATGTGGCTGAGGGAGGATTGGCTTGGTGAACTTGGCAACTCCCCAGTATGGACACTAACCTCAAAGACCCACATCAACCTGCAAGAACAGCAGCATCTCCATCTTCATATGGAGAAAACTGAGGTCTTCAGCACAGAGTATATTCTGAGAGTCAAGGCTAAACCCTCAGTTTAATATCTAGTCCGCTGGATGCAGCCTAATATGCTGTTTTTGTTTTAAGACATGGTCTCGCTATGTAACTCACAGAGATCCTCCTGCCTCAGCCTCCTGAGTGCTGGATTACAGGCATAACAGGCTGTGTTCTTCAGCTTATTGAACATAGTAGGTGCCTAATAACTGCTCATAAGGATTGGACACATAACCATTTTTCATGCCAATGCTTAGGTGAAGGTTCATAGGCATCTGAGCTTCAGTTTTGTGCTCTGTCAGGTTAGATGAGCCTCCCTTGGGCACCTGCTACAAGTGACACTCCTATACTGTGTCTCTTCAATCCCTGCCCCATTTTTTTCTTTTTTTGGCCAGGACCAGGGGTTGAAGCCAGGACCCTTGGACTGAGCTACATCTCCTGCCCCTATTAATATTTTAATTTTAGTAAAATTTTATTTTATTAAAAAATTTTTAGCTGGGGATTTAGCTCAGTGGCATAAGCGCCTGCCTTGCAAGTGCATGTTCCTGAGTTCAATCCCTGGTACTGATTTTTTAAAAAAGAAAAAAAATGTTTATTTTATTAGAGAGACAGAGTCTCTCTAAGTCACTCTGTTGCCCAGGCTGGGCTTGAACTTGTGGTCCTTCTGTCTCAGCCTCTTCAGTTTTGGGATTACAGGTGGGCACCACTACACCTGGCTTTCTTCACCCTCTTGTTAAATAAAATTTACGAGAGCCATTGGCTTGGGCTGAGCTCCTGTATCAGGCCAAACAGACCAATGAACATTTCGTGCAGGCGTGAAGCACAAACTGAAATCCCATGACTTCAAAGTGGATTCTTTATCACAATGTTACTTTTTGTGTATGATTAAAACAGAAGGGATTTCTTTACTGTGGCAGCTAAAACAAAGCTGTTTTGGAATTTGTCTATTCTCTCTCTCTCTTTCTCTCTCTCTCTCTCTCTCTCTCTCTCTCTCTCTCTCTCTCTTTCCATTTCTCTCTCCCCATCCCTCTCTTAATTGCTTGGAAGGTCATATAAACAACTTAAATGAACAATCCTCTCTGTCCCGTTTCTGTTTTCTTCAATCCCATTCTGTCTAGAAAGTCACCCTTCTCTGCCCAGCCCGTCAAAATGCTCACCTAATTTCCTAGAACGAGGTATTGCCCCGTGTGCTACCACTGCAGATAAAAGCCAGCTGTGACCTTTAAACTTGCTGTAACTTTGCCTTTTGACACGTCTTTATCATTTTCTTGTCAGTGTTTGTCACCATCTGTCATAGCATCCCTCCTCATAAGACGGCAAATTCCCTGGGCCAATTCACTTGTAACCCTCAGCACCAAGGACAGTGCCCCGGTGCCTGTCTCAGTCACTGCCACGACCAAGGAACACACTGCTGGTGGCTGTCGCTAACTCTCTCCAGGGCAACTGGGCAGTGTGTGGTAGGTGAAGACCCCAAATCATGGCAGGTGTGGTGGTGCACACGTGTAACCCCAGCGCTCAGGAGGCTGAGGCAGGAGAGTCGCCATGAGTTCAAGGCCAGCATGGGCTACATAAGAGAGTTTATAAAGGCCAGCCTACACTACATAGCAAGATCCTGTCTCAAAATAATAATAATAA